GCGCATTGGCACTGCCAATCGAACACGCTCTTGACACTGAGTGCAGCCAGTGCACCCCAATCGAAAACGCTATTAGATAATGAGGTAAATTCATCGACATCTAGAATGGACCGCTGATGGCAATGGTTGGGGGTAGAAAGACGATTAGAGTGAGAGGCAGGAATAATAAGATCGTTTTTTCTCTGTTTACTGTTGTTTCTAACTACTGTTGGATTAACAACAACCAATCAGGCTTCAGTAAACAGAGAAAGAACGATCTTATTATTCCTGCCTCTCACTCTAATCGTCTTTCTACCCCCACCATTGCCATCAGCGGTCCATTCTAGATGTCGATGGGTAAATTGAATTGAAGCATGGATAGGATACGCCGCCATTTGTGACACGTACAATCGCGCCAATTTTTAAATGAATTAAATTTTTATTCTTATACTAACAATTAAAACAAAGGTTAAATGTAAATATTTATATGTAAAAGTATAAAAATCATATATTAAAGAAATATTTCTTTAAGGGAGAAAGTTATTTTAAAGAGAATGTAGCCAGACTCGTATAAAGATAGAAAAACAATATATTTACGTTTGAAATTAGTTTGAAAATATAAATTAAATATTACATAAATTAAATCACAACAGTGCACTGTGCATCACATATCATGTATAATATGTTAATAATAATAATTATAGTGATACAATGAGTGGCACTCGTTGACCATGTTGCGATTAACAATCAATTACTCACAGTGCTTGAACAATAGAAAAACTCCGACTGCAGTGAGTGATTACGGTCAAACGGAAAGTGATAACGAAATGTTTACAATTTAATATAAGAAGTATATAGAACGTTATAATATTTTCAGTTAATTAGACATAAATGTTTTAGAACGTTTTAATAAACTATAAACTTTTTTTGAAATAATATCCATTATTTTATATAAAATTTAAACATTAAAAACTCAACAGAAACATAAATAGAAATTTGATATTTATTTACACAAAATATCTTGTTTAATATGCAGTTGAATATATTAAATTATATATAGGAGTACTGTCTATTTGGAACATAAGGAATTATGTTTCAATATAAAACTAATTTTTTAATACGAAATTAATTTCAATATAGTATTTCTTTCAACAAAAAAAATTAAAAAGCTCTACTTATATCAATTTAAAAAAAAATTAGTTAATAGTTTCAAATTTTTGTGCAACTAAGCTACATATGACTAAATAATACCGTTTTATTCAATCTGTGCCTTTTACTAATGGGATTAGCTATTTCCTTAGTGTAAAATTTTTGATATGAAAAATATCTTATGTTCAAATACTTTTCAGCTACAGCTACTATCAATTTTATTCTGTGAGGAGGCTCCATAATACTTTGTATTACATATACATATACAGCTTGTATACATAATACAGCTTGCATACATTTATCACTATGCGAAAAAATTTTATAATTTAACGCAAACTGATTTTTTATTTTATAAATGATATTTTTAAAAAGCTTTTCATCTGGCATTTTGTTTGGCATAAGTCCATGCACGGTAAATTCATGTTCCGTTGCTTTTACGATTTTGTAAACATAATCTGATACAAGAAATAAACCACCTCGATTTTTTGAATTTGTTAAAGCACCGTAATTTATATTTTTATTGTCTTCGTTTCGTAAGAGTGATTCCGCGCAAGTTTCACATGTTATGTTTTGAAATAACTTTCTCACGATAAATCCGCAAATATAATATAAAACGTTATCTTGAATATTAGTTACATCTGAATTGACATGTAAAGTATCGCAATTGCGCATGTTGGGAATATATCTTGTACAATATTATAGAAG